AGAGAGAGAGAGAGAGAGAGAGAGAGAGAGAGAGAGGTGTCAGATTTACTAGATTGAGTAATATAACAGGGGCTGTGAGTAGTCTAGCTATGGCCTCTGTATGCCAGAGAGGCTGAGACCCCATAGTCACCCAATCCACAAGAGTCCCAGTCTTGCACTGCAGGCACACAAGGATCATTCAGTCCGTGTGACTAAACTGATGCCAGGTGATGGTAGCACACCCCTTTAATCCCAGAATCTGGGAAGCAGAGGCAGGAGGATTGCTGAATTGGAGGCCAGCCTGGTCTATGGAATGAGTTCCAGGACAGCCAGGGCTGCACAGAGAAACCTTGTCTTGGAGGAGGAAGAAAGAAAGGAGGACGGGGAGGAGGGGGGAGGGGGAGAGGAAGGAAGAAGAGGAGGGTAGGGAGAAGGAGGAGGAGAAGGGGAAGCAAGAGGGGAGGAGGAGGAGGAAGACTTAACTGATGTCAATGGAGATCGGTGGTGATGGTGGTGGTGGTGGTGGTGACGGCTGAGGTGGCAGCAGCAGCAATAGACACACCATCCAGACAACATGTCCTCCTCCCTGCCTCTTTATACCTGGTCTGTCCATTGAAGGGTGCTGCCCACTCTCAAGGTGGGTCACTTCATCTCAGTCAGTTGTCTTTGGAAACTCTCTTACAGATATGCTCTTTGTTCCCTAGACAGTTCCAGATCCCAGCAAGCTGACATTCAAGATAAGCCCTGGTGCATGGCATGGATCTCTACTTTTACATGGAAATCTTGTCCATTAAAAGCCATGTGTTCTCCAGCTATGCAGAGGAGCCTGTGCCAGCTAAGCCCGTCCTCCCAGTCACTAATGAGGTGAGAATCATTGTATACTCTCTGGCCCACCTCACATGTTCCTTTGCTCACTGGATGCCGCATCTCAAATCCATTTCCCACAAACCCTGAACCTATTAATATTTTTATGACCCCGCTCTAATGCTGCTGTGCCTTCCACAGCTGCTCTTTATCTATGGCTGCACATTTATGGTCACTATCCCAATTTACCATTCTTCTATTTGGGGGGAATGTATTTCTCTGACTATTTTGTTCCTAGCTACTAATGTGGTGCCTGAAATATACTGCATCAATATATAGTAATTGAATGGATGGATAGACAAACAGATGGACAGATGAATAAACAAAGAGATAATGGTGGGTGGGCAGATTGATAGATGGACAAACTGTATATGAATGGACAGATGGAAAGATGGACAGAGGGACAGATGGATGGATAAACCAATGGATAAATAGAAAGATGGACAGACAGGGGGATGGATGGACAGATGGATGGATAAGTGGCTGGGCATCTGAATGGAAGAAGAAACTGCTGAATTAGTCGTATTCCCTTGCTTTTTGGCTCCAAGATAAATAGATCACTTAGTGGAAGCTCTGATCCAAAGGTCAGTTTGATAATGAGATGCAGTCCAGACTTTCAGAGGTCACAAATCTGGAACATTATGCCTTTGGAGAAGGGACACCACCTTGATTCTATAGCCCCAGAGAGCTCTCTCTTGGCTGTAGTCATGGGACCAATATTCTCTGCCAATCAGTTGCTCACCTCCCCCACCCTGTCTGAAATTAGGACAAGACTTCCTTTTACCTTTGACCAATGGTTGGCAAAGAATCAGCCTCCAGGGCCTGAGCCCTGCCACCAGCAAGCCTCAGGGGCGTGCCTGATAAGAGGCTTGTCAACCATTTCCACATGTCTGGAAGGGTGATGCTTAATAACTTAAAGGTGACATAAGGGTTGGGAGTCATATCCGATTGAGCAGAGAGACATGACCTAACTCGTCTCTCACCATCGTTCTGGCTGTGAGAGCTTGTCTTTATTAATTTCCTAACTGGAGCTGCTGGCTCAGGATTCCAGGCTGTCCCCAGAGCCGGGGCTCATGGCTGGGCTTAACTCCAGCATGACCAGGAAGGCAGAGACTGAGCTGTGACTGAGAGGGGCACCCACCATGGAGTCTGAGCTCTTCTTGGCCAGTGTTGGCTTCTACCACTCAACAGATGTCACATTTGAGGGAAACAAACCCACATTTTCTGAAGGGTTCCTGGATCACATTGCAGGTCCCCTGGTAGTTAAAGGGATGCTTTTCTTTGTGCTCTTAAAGGTGATTTAAACTCAGTTTCCAGGAACACAAATCCTGTCTAAAGCACCCAGTGCACCTGGCTGGAGAGTTGCAGGACTTTGTCTGAGCCTGGGGCTGTCTGGGGGAGTAAGCCGGCTTTAGTTATTTTCCTTTCATATTCTGTACTGTAGACAGAGAAATCTGAATTCTTCATTGCCTTCCTCCTGACCTCCTACCTTGTACACACACACACACACACACACACACACACACACACACGAGCACACAAGCACACATACCAGCCTCCAGCCTGACAGGCTTAGGGGCTAGCAGACACTCTGTACAGATGAGCTGCTCTATGGCCTTTGTGAAGTCACCTACCTTCTCTGAGCCTCAGTTTCCCTCTCCCTGGACCTGCAGGAGTTGTGGTACTTAGACGTGGTACTTTATTTGCAGTGGTATGAGGATGCAATTCATTCATTTCACAAGACTATTTCTCCAGTGTTGACTCTGTCAAGTCCCGGCTACAGTGAGTGGAGGCAGAGTCAGCCTGGTCCTGGGACAGCAGGGTCACATCTGTAGAACCTAGCACAGTTCCTGGCTCAGAGAGGGCCTTCAGTGGAAGTGAGGTCTTCCCCCCCTGTCCCCTCCCCTCCGCTCCTCTCCTCTCTTTTCCCCTACCCTCTCCTCTCTTTTTTTTTTTTTGGTTTTTTTTGAGACAGGGTTTCTCTGTGTAGCCCTGGCTGTCCTGGAACTCACTCGGTAGACCAGGCTGGCCTCGAACTCAGAAATCCGCCTGCCTCTGCCTCCCAAGTGCTGGGATTAAAGGCGTGCGCCACCACCGCCCGGCCTACCCTCTCCTCTCTTATACCCCACCACACTTGCTCATTTTCTTTCGGAGGGAAGCTTTTCTGAGAATCAAGCCCAAGGCCATGCTAAGCCCAAGCTAACCACTAACTGCAACTTTTCCTACCAGTGGTCTGTATCCAGTGGACCTGCTGACACCTGTTGAGATACAGGAAACAGAGTGGACAGTGGGGGAGGTTAGTATTCACTCTCTCGTTGATTTTCTATGTGAATTTACCAAGCCTCCCTCCCCTCCTTAATTTTCTGTCCATAGAAACAGAACATCCTAATTCCTTGAAGCGCCTTGAGTGAAATGATAAATTATTTAGGGCAA